TTTTAAAAAACACACAAACAAAAAAACCTACTCAGGCATATGTAATAATGTACATCTCCAAAGGGCTCATTCTGCAAGTCTGCTCCTGGCCACCAGTTTTTAGTCCTTCTCTTCTTAGTTGATGAATGTAGAGTCCTCAGCCGGAGGCTCCCCCTCTCCATGCCTCCATCTCTTTCTCCATCTCTGGTGCTTGCTGCTTCTCTGAGTAAGGTTCCGCATTCTATTTGTGCGTTCCTCTCTTGATGGTCCTAGGGTCCTCTGTTTATGGACTGTAAGATTAACCACTCTCCTTTTTTTGTTACAAAACTTCGACCTTTACAAGTGTGACAGTCACAATTAGTCATGATAACAGTTATTCATTGTTGAATCTTACGAATCTTATCCCCATCTCTTTTCACCAGACCCATCTAGACAGGATGATAGCTATTCAGTGGGGACTCTTTTCTTTCCCCTCATATTCTTAAACTAAACTCCCTCTTGAAACCTTGCAAGCCAGTCACTTCGTGCCTTTATTGCCCCTTCATTTTAGATAGCCAATGTCTAAGTTGCCCATCCCTATCTACCCTGTGCACAGAGCAGATAGCATTGATACTTGATATGAAGACTCTTTCCCTCTCTGTTGGTATTTAGAGTAACTACCGCTCTAAGTATAGGTTAGGTTCATCATGAAGATGTATCTTCTGTCACTGTAGCTGTTACAGTCTGCTTGTCCTTTCTAGTGGGAATGTCTCACCTCACAAGGTTGTGGATGGGCCTCAGGATTCCACATAAGGTCCTATACTCTGTAAAGGGTTTGCACGAGGCCTATTTCACTGGGCAAGTTGTAGAACCCCTTTTAGGTATTCCAATCAGTTATAGGCTGAAGGCGGGCTTACAAATAAACAGCATTCTTATCAACGGAGAAAAGATTGAAGTTGTCAAGGACTTCATTCTTCTTGGATCAGCTATCAACACTCATGGAAGCAGCAGTCAAGAAATCAAACAACATATTGCATTAGGCAAATTTGCTGCACAAGACCTTTTTAAAGTGTTGAAGAGCAAAGATGTCAGCTTTAGGACTAAGGTGGTGTGCCTGACCGAAGCCATGGTATTTTCAGTAACCTCATATGCATGTGCAAGTTGGACAGTGAATAAGGAAGATCGTAGAAGAATTGATGCCATTGAGTTATAGTGTTGGAGGAGAATATTGAAAGTACTATGGGCTGCCAAGAGAACCAATAGATCTGTTTTAGAAGAAGTGCAGCCAGAGTGCTCCTGGGAGGCCAAGATGGCCAAATTTCGTCTCTCATACTTTGGACATATTGTCAGGAGGGACCAGTTGCTGGAGATGGATATCATGTTTGGCAAGGTGGAGGGTCAGAGGAAAGAGGAAGACCCCCAACGAGATGGATTGGCCAAGTGGCAGCATCAGTGGACTCAAGCATGGCAACAGTAGTGAGGTTGGCCCAAGATCGGGCAGTGTTTCGTTCTGCTGTGCCTAATGCCGCTATAGATTGGATCCAACTCAATGGCACCTAACAACAACAACTACTGGATGTAAGTGTCATGATTAGCCTATATTCCTGTGCTAAACTTGGTTTCCACCATCAAGATGAAACCTTCAGGAGTCTGTAGTACAAAATGAGAATAAAGACGAGATTCTCCATAAGTATTTGAATATTGAAAAGATATTTAAGATTCTTAGTAAAGGGAGTATCAGTTTTGAAATAATTTTTTAAATCACTGGAATTCTTGAAATTAATATATGAACTTTATAATTCTTTGAGTTTTCTTCTATTTGAAATAAAGTAAAGAATTTGTTTACTATGGAGAAAGCTTTTGATGAACATTTCTAATGGCAGTGGAAACCATTAAGTACCATCTTTTCATATTCTCATGATTTCTTTTATGTCAGAACCTTTTTTGTTCATATTGGCATTGCTATTTAAAATCTCAGTGTCTCTGTAGCACTAAACTAAGACAGGGATGTGTCTGTACTTGTTCTGTTGCTTTGGGTTAAGGGGGAAAGTAGGAGGAGTAATGTTATGTCTGCAGATCATTGTATATATTATTCCTACTGCTTCTCCAATTACCTTCAGGGCTGCTTCCCTCATTAGGTCTCTACTGTGATGATCGAGGTGTTCGTTGACCACACCATTTTAAATAATTTTCTAAGTGTAGCCTTGATCTGGTATCTCATCCCAGCTCCTTCTGACTTGCTTTTACTGAAAATATTTATAAGAATGGAAAAAAGGTTCTGTCACATTTAAAGATGAGATTTTGATTTTTACCCTATTGTTGATAAGCTCAGTTTTATGGTTCCTAAATTTACTGTTTTTACAGATAAGAGATACTTTTTCCTGTACTTGAATAGGCTTTGAATTTAAATAGAAAATTTAGCAATCCTTGTGACTGGAACTTGGCATTTTATACTTCTACTGGTGTGGTGCTGTAGGATCAGTACTGGATTGCTAACCACAAGATTGGCAGTTCAAACCCACCAGCAGCTCCTTGGAAACCCTACTTGGAATCGACTTGACATTTATTTAAGTCAAAAGTGAGAGAGATTGCTTGGAATAATCTGGATTGGTGTTAGTATGTTTGACTTCTTTTTAAAAATAGAAGAGGCCCAGGGCGTAGTTAGAAGCATAAATAAAGGCACAGAAAGGAAAAAACAGTATACAGAGGAATGGCTATTGAAGTCTGGAGTCCTGGTGTGGCGCTGTGGGCTAATGCGGCAGACTGCAAAGTCATTTGAACTGCAAGGTCAGTGGTTCAAGCTCATCAGCTGCTCCTTGGAAACCCTGTACAGGGTCGCTATAGGACGGAATCGACTCAACAGCACTTAACAACAATATTGCAGTCTAGAGGAATTGTTCTAAACTATGAGCCAAATTTCAGGAGCCTTAAAAATAAGATTTAAGGAGTTTAGACTTAATTTGGATGGCAATGGAGAACCATTGGTGTTTTGTAGAATCAAGTGATATTGAAGGAAGGTAGATTTGAAGGATATACAAGATGAGTGGCATTTGCGTGAATAACAGATTAGTTAGAATGTTGTTGTTATTGTGAGTTACAGTTTAATCATAGAGTTCCTGTGTACAACATAACATAATACTGCCTGGTCTTAAACCATCCTCACAGTTGTTACTATAAGAACATGAGCTCTGGAAACAAAGTGCTACATTTCAAACTTGATTATTACCTTCACTAACTCTGTGCTCTTGTTAGATTGCTAAACTCTGTCCTTTCTAAAAAGGTGCTCAGTAGTATAACACCTACCTCTCTGAGTTGGTATAATTGATGTGATTGTCCAAACTGTTACTCTAACACAGAGTGAACTCTCCATCATTTGTTAATATAATTAAAACCTTGATATATTGAATTTTGAAGGAAGACTGGAATCAAAGATAACTATTGTTTGAGCTTTAATGTCAACAGAAATGATGTAACAAGAATAACTAGTCAGGAGAAGTTGATTTTGGGAGGAAGTACGTGATTCTAGTTTTATGAAGGTCAGTTCTGGTGCTCCAGTGCTATATCTAGACATCAGTAAATAGTAGGCTCGTCAAAACTTCAGGAGAGAAGTCAGCATAAGCTATTGCTTGCATTCCTATACATGTAAAACACTTAAAATATGTGGTAAAACTTCTAAAGTATATTTTTGCTTTGTTAATAAACTGACAATAACAGTAATCACATTATATGATTGATTTTCAAGCCATTCATACTTGTTTTCTAATTACATCCTCGTCTATATAAGACACTATATTGTAAATACCATCAGATTATGGACTACCTTTGTTTGCTCACCATTGTGTTCACAATACCTAGTAGAACAATATGTGTAATGATGACCTGAATAAATATAGAATGATTGCAGATTGGCAGAAGCACATATATATTGTGACTTGCCCTAATAACGCAGGTTGTTAATGTAGCTAAGACTTTGCTATAGGTCTTTTGGGTGTATGTTTTTAGCAACCAGTGTGAGAGATAAGTTTATGAAGCATAAATACTTCTTAGAAATAAATAAAGTTGAATGATTTGGAACTGGCCATGCCATTTTCTAGAGAATTATTTCAGTTATATCAGTTTAATGTAACAAAAAAATGTAAGCAATAGTTATGACACAAAAACGTAATTCAAATGTTATTGCATGGAAAAATAATTGTTGAAGTTGTGTATGGGTTGTTCTAAAAAATAAAATCCTTTTATATTATTTGATTTTTTTTCCGTAGGGGCATTACTATAGTGTGCCTTAATTGTGATTTCCTAACTGATGTTTCTGGCTTAGATAATATGGCTACACATTTAAGTCAACATGAAACTCACACTTGCCAAGTTGTAATGGAGAATGGTACGTATATGTAATGTGTTACTTTGGATTTTTTTATGTTTATTCCAGTATTTTTGGCTAGCCATAATATGGACTTTTTAATAAAATAAAATTACTAGATTTTTCTCACTTTTACATTTCATATGTGTTTTTAAATACAAAATTTTCTTCTAATTTCAGTTTCTGTTCATACCACAACTTCTGAACGTCTTTCTGTGTAAGTTTGATTTTTCTTCAGTGTATTTTATGGTGATGGATTTTAGCATTGTTGCATTTTTAAAATGTATCATTAATGCAAATGAAAAATGTTGAAAGTGTTTTGTTTTGTTTTAAAAACTGCTTGTTGAAATAGGTTCCTGCTCTATCGAACTTATGACCTGGTGCAAGACAAGTTAAAATTTCCTAAGTTCAAAGTTCTGAGGTGTTTTCTTACAGAAAAGCAGTGAAGCAGTCAAGTTCATAACACTAGCTCTCATTGTTCAGCTCTTTTCAGCTTTCAGATGGGTCTAGACCCTTATTCTACCTTTTCTTGGTGTCATGTTGACATGTTCTTTTCCTCCAGTTGGCTCTCTCCAAAAATAACTTTTTTTGCTATAGTCGTTTCTAATTAAAATAATTTGCATTTCCCTCTAATGTACTTACCTTCGGAATTATACATTCCAAATTATATGGTTGTTTGTCTTTTTGTCTGTTTTGTCTGCTTTCTTAATTTCATATATATCTAAAGTTTTTAGGTCAGATAATTGTCTTTTTCCTCATTCGTTGTCTGTTATTGTGCTATTTTTCTTATTTTTCAGATGCAGAAACAGCCCAGAGATTTCAAAAAATGTTCAGGGTACACCTGGACAGTGTCCCCCTTCGATGGACACAACTGATGCCTGTTCTCTTTCTCTAAAGAATGTGAATAATTTGACTGTGAGACCTGTTCTCGATTGTGACCTCAAGAAATCAGATCTTAGGGAGACTCCCTTCTTACATGGTTGTCCTCCTTTAAGACTGAAGCTGATTTGGCCAGAAATAGCTTCAAGGCATACTAAATTGAACACTGCTTAGCTTCCCTCTAGGGCCTTTGGCTCTTGTTCTTAAGCTTATAGGTCTAGGTCCATCCTGACCAAGAAAAGGCCATCAAATCAATGCTGTAACTTCCAACTAGAAGTTTAACCATTTTGGCTGCTGCTAATGTTTCTCTAGCATGAATGCAGTCCAAGGAACAAAAAAGCTCTGGTTGTTTGAGGAAACTGTGGTTGCTTTTGTGTCCTTGGAACAACAGGTCTCTAAAACTATCTTTCAAAATCATAGTCATTTTTACTGTCTTTTAAGATATATGATCTAGCATTCACTATAATTTTTTTCAGTAATACTAATTTTCAATTTTTTCAAAATTAATTTTGGTAGCTTAATTTTTTTTTTTATGTTCTTCAAATTAATGGATGTCTATTTTGTTATGTCTATATTTATACTCTCTTCTTTAAAAATGTTTAATGTATGCCATGTTTTCTTAAGGACTCCAAGAGTTTCTTTTGTACAGATTTCATATAGCTGCTTGTTGCTTACATTGGCAGTTGTTCAGACCATTAAGCATTATTATATACTATCTAATCTCCGTATTAATATTACCTTAATTAATATGAGTTCTGAGGTATAAATAATTGATCAAACCTTTTCTTGCAGACCTTAAAACAAGTTTTAGGTATATGTGTTTGTTCCCATATATTTAAGTAGTCATTAATGCAGTTCCTGTGAGTAAAGGTTGTTGTTGTTAAGTGTCATCAAGTCAGTTACAACTTACAGCAACCCTGTATCAGGTTTCAAAAGAACGGCTAGTGGGTTTGAATTGCTAACCTGTGGTTAGCAGCCCAGTCCTACAGTGTCACACTAGGACTCCTTAGGTAAAGGTAGCATAGTAAGAGAGTGGGGAAAGGAGCCAACAGTACTTTTGATTTATACAAGGGGGCTTCAAAACTCATTCATGAATAAATTCCATTATATTTTATTTTCATTTTTTTCACAGTGTGTGTATGTGTGTATGGACTTAATATACTAGTCTTTATCTATAACCTACTTACTTTAGAAAGTTTTATAGCCATTCTCTTTCCTACCCATATAATACACACACAAACACATGCATATCTTTTTACATTTGCTATTTATTTATGGTTTATTTTGGTTACATTTAATATAGATCATTTTGGCGATATGTTTTGATGTTATTACTTTATTTTAGAAAAGTGTTTTAAGTGCCTTTAGAGTTACTTGCTCATGCATGTTGTTGTTGTTGTTAAGTGCCATTGAGTCAGTTCCAACCTATAGCTACCCTGTATAGGATTTCCGAGGAATGACTGGTGAACTTGGAACAGCCGACCTTGCAATTCAAACCAACCTTGCAGTTTAGCACATTACCCCAAAGTGTCACATAACTCTATATAAAAGCTGTAGATTATTTTACTGGAAACCTGATTATTTGACCGCAAGAATGAGAAGTATGTCAGCATAGTGTCTCTTACATTTTTCCTCTAGCCCAATTAAAAGTTTGCTATTTATTCTGTGAAGGAGTCCATGGTATGTGGTTAGTTTGGCTGCTAAATGAAAGAAAGGTCACTTGTTTGAGCCGCCTAGGCACTCCACAAAGATAAAGCTTAGGAAATCCTATGGGACAGTTCTGCTCTGTCCTGTGGGGTAACTGTGAGTCAAAATTGATCAATGACACTGGGTTTGTTTTTTGTTTGGATCTGCAGGGGTAGTGGTTGTTTACGTATACTACTTGTATACTGTTTAATCAAATTTTAAAACACTAGCAAAATTCCCTTTGTGATCTTATATAGCTGCAAAGATATCCTAAGTGTTTTAAAATAAGAATTTCTTTAGCTACACATCCTTTGATCAGATGGAAAGCCAGTTTAGATGACCACTGGGTTATGTAATGTACACCTTGCAGTTAATAACAGTTGAATCCATTAGTTTTAAATTTCCAAAGTAATTTCTATTGTAAATGAATGATTTTCTAAAATATCCAAAAGTGCTGGACATGGTATACTAGTCTTTATTTCTAATCTATTTACTTTAGGAAATTTTATATCCGTTCTGTTTCTCACCCATATTTTTTTCTTTTGATTTAAAATTTTTTTGTCCAGAAACAACAACTAGTTTCCATTTTGAATGTAAATTCTCTTTTCTTTTATAGATATTTGATCTGCATTGGTTATAGTTAAAAAATACAGTAAACCACATTGTGCTCCTCATAGGATTCTAATTTTGATCGTATGTATCGAGCTTATTCTTATAAAGTATAAACTTAAATTTCTGTGATCTGTAGCTTCAGTTTTTAATTGGACTTAAATACAGAAGGTAGTACTAAGCTTTTTTTCAAGTAAAAAAAATTTTTCTATGTGAATTGGCTGAAAGTGTACAGAGCACATCAGATTTTCTATTAGCAATTAACACACATTTTTGACATCTCATTGATTGCAATGAGATAGCATCACTTATCCTACTTCCTCCCTGTGTTTCCTGTTTCCATTCCTCCTCCTTTCCTAACTCTGTTGAATTTAGCTCATCAAATTATTCTAAGCAGTTTATGTACTTACTTCAGAAATAGCCATTTCATGAACATGGGCACTTGGTTTACTACTGAATAAAGAGTACAGTTGGCTCAGATTAAGTCCAGGACCATTATTAGAAAAATGATCCATAAAGTGTAGAAGCTTGTATTCTTTCCCTATTTGTAAGAAGTGGAGGTAGGGAGGTTGCCATTTTAAATTTTGGTGGCTTGGGAAGGCCATATTGAGAGATGACATTAGAGTAAAAACCTGAAGGAGGTGAGCAAATTAATTGCTTGGATATGTATCAGAAGAGCATGTCAGAGAGAAGGAATAGTAAGTGCAAAAGCTAGAAGACCAGCGTGGAATCAGGGAGAGACAAGTTAGGGGACTGTTATAATAATACAGTAGGAAATGATGGTTGCTTAGGCTAGTATGGATAGGTGGTAAGTGGTTTAATTTTGGATGTATTTTGAATTTGTGTATGGTTTGAATGTGATGTGTAAGAGAATGAAAATATTGGGGACTCCACATTTATTAGTCTGAGTAACTGGAGAGGTGACATTAATATGAACTGAGATGGGAAAGATGATATGAGCAGATTAGGGAAGGACAAATGAGCACTTTGATTTGGAACATGTTTTAGTTTGAAATAACCTGATTGTAGCAGCAAGGGATATGTCAGATGGCAGAGGTACTTCCCATAATTTTAAACCCAAGACGCTAGAAGTCTTATCTTCATTGTTTCTTGTTCCTCTTTGTAGCTCTTTGTGCTTACCTCCTCAACCTAAATACCTACTTTTCTTGAAACTATTTTGCTTCCTCCTTAAGCAGCTTCAAGAAGTCTTTCTGAATATTAAGATTAGGAGATTTGATACCCAACTGCACACTGCACCTTCTGAACCCTTACAACACTGGTGTGGTAGAACCACTGGCAACCAACTGCCTGGGTTGGACTTCCCATGCTGCTACTTACTAGATAGCATGTGACTTTGGACAGGTTACTTGATCTCTGTATTTCAATTCCTCATTTGTAAAATGAAGGGAACAAAAATACTTGATAGATGTTGAGGGAATTAAACAAGTTAATGCTTGCATATAGAGTTTAGTGATTGACACATTCAGAGTACTGTACAACAGTAAATCATCATTACTACCCTAACTGATTTTATTTTTCAATTCCTTCGGGTATTGTAACCCTAATCTTTAGCCCTATTTTCATTCCAACCATCTGACATTAGTTTGACAAATCATTTCTGTTAACTTTCTGTTCTTAACCCAATGTCCTTGAATGTCACAGTTAAACACATAGAAGTCATACCATTAGATTTTTGATGTCTGTTGGAGGCCTGGTGTGGTGCTATAGGATAAGCACTGGACCGCAAAGTCAGTTTGAACTGCAAGGTCGGCAGTTCAGACTCACCAGCCGTTCCTTGGAAACCCTTTATAGAGTTACTAGAATTGAAACCAACTCCATAGCAATTAGCAGCAACAACAACATCTCATAAAAAGGAGGTCTGGAGTGTAGTGGAGTACAGGTTAGGCTGCTTATAATCCACTATACTTCAGGTCAGCAGTTCAAATCTACTTGTTGCTCCTAGATAGAAAGATGAGGCTTTCTCCTCCTGTAAAGATTTTCAGCCTTGAAATCTTACACAGAGTCACTGTGAATTGAAACTGA